AAGAGTATTGGAACAACCTACAGTAGTCATTTGCATGTGAAGTTTGGTAAAAAGGGTCAATTTAGTTGTTCAATGTCTCAATTCTAAAATGGAGTATAGGATTTTTGCAATCTTGATAGCTCGTTACTATTCAAAAACTGGATTAACTAATCAACCCCTAGCAAAATTACATCCACACAACTAAGTCAACCACTGATTCACCTATGGCTCCTATAGAGCATCCCTGGAGGCATTTAGAGTAAGAGCCCTTTTAGCACAGTCAAGAGGCATCAAGTATTCTCTTTCTCACCTTGCAATAGGAAGCACATTGGAACCCGTATACATCATGATAAAGAAGAACACTCCACTCAGATAGAAACGAGGTAACTGGGGGTTATCTTGCATGACATGAAACAGCAGTATAGCAACCTTCTCCACAAGGATAGGATCAAAAGTCAACAGCAGCTGAAATCAAAGAAAATAAGCACTTGTATTAGCCATTTGAGTTGTGCAAGTTACCTAGTCAAAAACTCATTTTTTAGTTAACTCAATATTGTGACAAATGGCCAACTTATTAGAATACTTCAGTTAAAGAATTTCAGCTTGAAAATAACCAGCTCAAAGTCAGTTTTAATGCTTTTTTGGAGAGAGAGAGAGAGAGAGAGAGAGAGAGAGAGAGAGAGAGAGAAAGGCACTTACTTGAATGATATGGGGAAGACAAGTACTATCCGATAGCAGCCTTTTCACTCTAGGCAGAGGTCTTATAATAGCATTGTCTTGATCCCTAAAAACAGGCAGTACAACAGTAAGCAGATATGTGCACTTTCTTACTAGAATGGGCATCTCATTAAGTACCAGGTACTCAAAATCATATTCAGAGCCACCATTCACTTCATTACATTTAATTGGATAGATGTGCTAAGCACGGTTTAATGCTTTTATTAAAGCAGCTTTATTTTCATCTAAAACAAGGGACTGCCTAGTGCATTATAAACATAGCTTGTTCATATATTAATACTTTGTCTCTTTGAGAAACTTCATATTTGCACTCAGGATTTAAGACTTGGTACTACAGTGAAAGAGGTTCTTTAATATAGAACATGTATACACTACTTTGCTTCTAAGAAAAGGTCCAAGGGAGAAGTTATGAATGTATATACAGGCTAGAGAAAGTTAACCATTTCCACTGAACAGTGTTTACCTGCTGGGAAAGTATCCACACATCGTTATGAGCATATTGAGTATAAGCGTGGCAAGATCCGTCTCGTTCAACACAGCCTGGCCACTGGCCAACAAGCACCACTTCAGCTGGGGGATGACCTGCAGTGGTCGCCATCCATCCATGCCCTGAGCCCAACAACGTGTCTTGGAAGTCAGTTTTCCACTGTCCCACAGCTCCTGCATCTATAGTGAAATTAGAGATGTATTAGCTAATTAAAGCATCCAGCTAATCTTTGCTCCTGAAGACTCAGAATCATGAGCTTGTTGCAGCTATAAGTGGTTGCATGAAACCAACACATTCATAACTGTCAATAAATATGGAACAGATTTGATTATTTCTAATCCTCACCTTCAACCACTTTCCTCATGGAAAGAGGACATGGAAGGACAGGCAGCCTTACCAAAAAGGCAGGATTTGTTGCAATTAACTTTTCAATTGCTGGGAGGAAGACCTGCTGAGGTGTTGGGGGGGCTACTATTTTAATAGCAATAGCCTTTTCCCCAAACACTATCTCTACCCCTTTTCCTACTTCCCCTCTTCAGGACACTTGCATGTGACAAAGAAATTACTTAAGACTTCTAAATTAGAGAAACCAAACTGCTAAAATAGTGCATGGCAACTGAGGTGTCATGAGTAAGTTTCAGACTATAGAAAACTCAGACAAAGTCTATATATCAGAAGTCATGAGCTCTAATGGACATTGTTTAATAACTGTTGTAGCAAATGTTATAAGCATTTGTTTCAAAATTAGGTCTTTAGTTCTGCCTCTCTGTGCCCTTGAGGGATGGATTTTTGGCATAACAAATCAAATCATTTACATAACATTGGAAGAATTATTCTCTTGCTTTATCCTTAAGCAGTTAACTTTGAGTATTGCTTTGCATTATTAAGTTTTCTATCACTCACAACTTTGAAAACCACCTTGCCATCAAAATGAAAATATCCTCTATCAAGCTTGAAGGTCAGAAGCAGAGAGGTACCTCTTGAAAGCTGTAAGGACCACTCCTTTCTTTGTCAGCATTGCCGAAGTACCATTCTTTCTCACTCTCTCTCTTCATATCAGGTGCTGCCTCAATCACATTGCTCTAGAAGTTGATGTTTGTATGATTAGTTACAAAAAAAACAAACAAAAAAACCAAACACACAACCCACACATTATCACTTTTTCAGTGTTTGCCCGTAAGTTTGCTTTAAAGGAAAAAAAAGATACGGAATAGTAAAATTACACACCTGCAATGGGACTGTAGCCCTACTTGTGTGAAGATGTGCTAGAGTAAGCAGATCCACAAGAATCCTAACACCATTTGAATCCATGAGGTCTTTCACATTTTTCTGGGAATGAAGGCGTTGGAGTTAACATGAGGATGTTTTAGATGAGGGTTTTTACAGATACAGTTTTGAACAGGTCAGTGAACAGTTTCCAAACATGAAGCACACACGAGCACAGTCAAAGCAGACTCTGAATTGCCTAATCCCATGTCAAAGCAGACTCTGAATTGCCTAATCCCATGTACCCAGCAAAGGTGCCATACTTTCTCCAGCTTTCTGCAGTGGCTTCCCTAACAGTTACCATACCCAAGAACACCGCAGCAAGCACTTACATTTTAAAGATCTGTCTCTACTGGGCAACAAGACTTAAGTTTTTGCTTAAGTTCACCTTGAAAGACTAGTTCAGTAAGGGGGAATTTTATTAAGGGAGAAGATCCATGAACTAAAAATGCATATGTCTCTTACCTTATTAAGGATGAGCTTGTTGAGAAACAGTATCAGTCTGTCCCGCTCAAGCCTATCAGTGCACTGTTGCAAGAGAAGAACAACATTTGATAGCATCTATTATGAGAAGTTACCTCCAAGAGTCAATAAAATACAGTTGTGCCTGCAAAGGCCCCTTTCCTTTCTTGTCGTGCCTGGAATAAACTGTCAGTGGCTAAGGGTACAGTTTCATGCACAGCTAACAAACACACCTAACAAACAGCGCTCTGCCGCAGCCTGTTCCTGTCCACCACTCAATCCGTTCCTCTGGATCTGAAGCTTAGGCCCACTTTTTGTTTTGCCAACCAGTCTTCTGCTATTTATAAGGGCACTCAGATTTCCCAGGGAGCCAGGCAGCACAACCAAGGCAAGGCAAGCTGTTCTTTGCCAGCAGATGGAACAGGTCTTTGATGTCACTCCCTACTGAAACTGTCCTCCTATAGTAGCAGGAAAATTGAAATCCTTTGTACATTCAATGTTGAAATACAAAAACCTAAGGCATTATGCTGAAAAAACAAAGCTCATGTTTCAGAGTAACTTGCAAGCCCTGAGCATCATTTGGACTAGCTATGTAGCACTACAAGTCATGTTAAGTAATTCTTACCCTTTCTAACATTCCAACGATGTACTTGGTATCAGAAAATGGGCCTATTTCTTCATGACATCTTCCATAAACGATGGCCAGTGCTTGCAGACATAAACACTTCATATTCACTTTTGGGGTAAGCAAGAAGCGATGGTAGAGTTCATTGAAGAACTCATACCTGAGAGAGGAGAGGAGATGTTAGAGAAGAAAACAGAGCTTCAGAATGAGAGAAGATTTTAATAACGGCTCACGATTTTTTGATTGCTCCACTTTCTTCAGTTTCATCTTCTTCAAGCAGCAATCTTAGGTAATAATCTCCTATTTTTATTTCTTCAGAAAGGCACTCATATTTTACCTATAAGATGAAAATAGATTAACATAAAATTTTCCTTCACTTCTTTACTTGTATAATACTATATTTACTTGTAGCCATACCCTCATCAAGATTAATAAACTAGTCCTTATAATAGGAGGAAGATTAAATCCTTTGTAAATTTGCTGTTGAAGTATACAAGTCTATAGCACTACACTGTAAACTTTTACTGCTCCCTAGAAACAAAGTTTTCATCTTAGCAAAATCCTATCTTCTAGTCTCTACAGTACTTCCCCCCCTTTCTTTTTTTTTTTTTCTTCTTCTTCTCCTACTGTCAGATTTGTTTCAGTAACTAAGTTTGGATAATACATGATCTACCCAGTGACTCAAGCTATAATAAGTAGTTTTCTCACTGTGTGGTATTGTAAGTGTTGCACAATGTGAAACAAACATCAGTAATTACTGGTAGTACTAGCTACTGCACTAGGTAATTAAAGCCTAGAGGCATCAGTATGTACAGCAAGAACCTAAAATGAAATTGCACAACGAAAACCATCATTAATTTCACAGCAACTACATTAAACATTTAAAGCCATATAGTTAGGTTTAACAGCTTTAGGCATTTGGCACAGCATTTCAAGAGGTGCCTGACACACCACAAAAGCCACTCTACAGCAGCTGTTCTTAACTGCGGTCCACGAGTCACTTGTTATCAGGCAACCTGCAAATCTGACCATAGCACATGATAAAGGGGTCCCAAACCGGCACCCTTCCAAAGCTCTGCTGAGCAGGAGAGCTTGCACCTTGGCAAGTGTCCTTGGCATGTTCTGGTTTGCAGAGGAGTCTTTGGTCACTGTTAGAGTTAGTTCAAAACACTTAACACCTAACCTAACAAAAGTCTTAGACAGCAGCTCTTCTGTAAGCTTGTGTTACAGAAGCCCCCTCAAGCTAGGCCCTAGCTGCTGAACTATAACTGCAGAAGCTGCTCCAGTACTGCTCCAATCTGCACCTGCAAAGGACAGATTATGTGTTTTATGCACACCAACACCTTGTAGTAGTGTTGGAAAAGCAAGATTTTTTTTTAAATGACAAAGGCCACAATAAGAGATTACTTCTTCTGACTATATGGCACTGTCAGGGAAAAGCAGACAGGGTAGGGTGCCCAGAAGTACTTTGGCTCATCAATACCTGAAGAAAGTTTGAAGAACTAAATATCAGTGCAGAAGCATCGATTCAAATTTAGCTAGATATTGCATAAGGGTAAGTAGCAGTCTGTAGCTGCACGACATCAAGTAGAGGGAGGACATATAATAGTGCTTCCTCTTGGAAGTATCACATTGACAACTACTCCGACAAGCAGGAGACACTGCAACATCTGCAAATTTCAAGAGCAGCAGGTTTTTTACTACTACTCTTCTGCTCAGATTGTAACCAGAGGGACAACCAGAGAGACTGTAACCTTGTTCTGCAACCAGGCTGGCGCTCAGAGAGCCCAAGAATATTTTGCAGTTGAAGTCTTGTTTTGCTTTAGCATTACAGGCCAAATGCACAAATAGCTATGTGAAAAATGTAGCAGTTTGAGACAAGAGGAAGTTACAGGAGGTATTTAGACATAATACTGGAAAACATCTTGAAAGTTGATTCCAAACCCCCACTCCAATAATTAGAATGGTACCAACTGCTTTGCAGAAGCTTGAAATATTTTGACTTTTAACACTACGATTGCTAGAACAAAGACAGGATCTTTAATGCTACAGAGCAGCGTGCTTTTAGCTCCATAACCTATGGAGCCCCATAACTTGGCAGCCCAGTATTTAAGGTCTCAAAACAAATGCGGCATGGAAGTAGAGGCCAGGGACCTTGCCACCAGAAAGTGACTTATGAAGCAAGCTAAAAATAACTTCTTTAACATGCTCCCTTAAGCACATCTATATATCAGTGTAGTCACTTTTATACAAGTGTTAAGGTACTAACTGGAACCCTTGATTCCACAAGGCCATATCAGGGTGAAGTGATTCCAACCTAAGAAAGTGACACTGATGAGTGGTGTCTCTCTCAAGGTCAACATATTAGCCCCTTACTCCGTAACTCCCAAGAGAATTTTGTCTTCCATGCAGAGACTGTTAACACAAGACTCACTCAGGTAGTTAGACAGAAAAGTGACATTTAAGGTACCTGTATTTTACACATGCAGGCTTTCCTACAAGTCATTTACCTCAAACTCTTGATGGTTCCATGAGATGACACTAGCACTACCAAGTTCTCTGTCAATACTAAATGCTCTCATCTCAGATTCAAGAGTATCTCTCAGTTCTTCCCGTGTTTTGAAGTTCCAAATCAGGTTTGATCTAGCATGATCTTGAAGAAATCTAGGACAGAAGTTACAGTTTAAGCCCTTCAAACATTATCTAAAACCACAAGCAATTCTCAGCAGGCAAACTGGAGAGGATGAGCACTAGCAAACTTTATGTAGGAAGGACTGAGTAGTTGTTTCTAGTTTGTTAATTAAGACGGTTCACTTATATAGAGTCATAGTCCTACAGGTCAGCATAATTAAAACATGCCTTTTGTCACATTTGGGCTCCATTAGTGGCATAGCTACTTTATACACTGGAGAAGTCTTGCTATCCAGACCGCATGTCCAGTAAAAGCTAGAAGCAAACAGTACCTTATGGCAGCAGACAGACACATCAAACATGTTGCACAAGGGCAGCTCACATAGCAAAGCAGAAGTTGTTGTCTAAGCATCACGAGGCAGCCGACGCTAGCGGCAACTACAAAGCCACATTCATGTCCAGAAACTGAGCACAGTAATCTCTATTCCAGGCTTAGGAGAATACTCAAGTCTTCCTCTCGCATAGTGTAGCCCTGCGTAACTACTATTGTCTTTTAGAAATATTAAGTACCGAATCAAACCAAGGTCACTCAATCTCCTCAAATCTTAAGTTTGAGGAATGATTTACCTTTATTAGTGCATTTAGTATAAAAATTCGTAGCCAGACCAAGGTGATACTTCCCCTTGCAAATGGGGGCCCCTCCTCAGTGTAGAAACCCCAAAATATACTAAAAACCTCAACACAGATAAGCAAGTCACACTTCAGATTTGTGACACTACCTGCAATCTAATATCCAGGTTTTCTATTGGTCTGCCTTACGCATTTTAATCATTTTAATTTCTATTCCCAAGTGAAAAGGTAGCTTACAGGACAAAGCACCAGCTCCCTACTAGGGCTTCTAGGGATACTTCGCTTAGCCCTCAGCTTCATGCTGAATCTGCATGTGCAGCTTGCATGATCACAGCAGAGAAACTCTCCAAGTCTCCCCCTCTCTTAAAGGCTAGCTAAAGCCCTGGGTATTTTGGCATCTCATTTTTTAGAGGATCCTATTACAAAACACCAACAGCATTTCAAGGCAAAAAGTAATTGGAAACAAAACATAGCAACTCAGTAGAAATTAACAAAATATCCAGATAAATATGGTAATACAGGTGGTTATTTACTTTAAGCTTTTACCTGTAATAGAAGAGATCCCAGTTTGCTTCTATTTTTATTCTTTGTCTTCGTTTCCTGAGTATTACTGGCTTTTGAATGATGTTCTGAAAAAGAGCCAAGTTTAAGAAATTGATAGCAACAGAAACTCTCCCCCTTTAAAATAAAATTAGTATTTATTCAGAAAAGCCCACCTTAACTTAGCTCTCCTTTCCTAGTAAATAGCAACAGATTTTCACAAGTGTTATTTACATCAAATTAAGTATATTTATGCCAGGGAAACTTTCAGCTGTTACTTCTAAACAAATGACTTATTTGAGTTTTTCTCAATGAGAGAGAGCTTATGTCCCACCACCCATTAGCCCACTGAGGGGTGCCAAGATGACTGACAGTTTAAGCCGGTCTGTTTCAATATTCTGTATTTCATGCATACACCACCCATGCACCAGGACAGTACTCTCAGCACCAAGCTGGACCACAAGCAAAGCTCAGCCTATCTTTCAAGACAGTAAGACTGGCAGCTCCGAAGCTGATGGAAGGGAAAACCCACACCAGGGCTGCTCTGCACTTTTGCAAGGAGACTAGAGCAAGTCAAAAACAAGTCACAAACCTGACTCAGCCACTGAAAGGTTCCCTAGTTTGACCAAGCATGAAACCAGTACAGTACTCTAGATGAGGCATCACATGCAGGCAGAAGTCAGAGCAACACAATCCACACAAGTAGCAGAGACACAGACTCACCATATTGTTTCTGTCCTGATTGTGATTGGAAAGTTGGAAGAAAAAGAAAAGGAATATTTAACAAGCCACAGCCATTGCATACTTCAGAGTGGTAATGTCAAACTTGCTACAACTCTTTCCAAACCACACTTGCATGAAACCTCAGCGTCAAATTTAACAGCTCAGAATTCCACAGATAGAAAAAGCAACTATTTAAACCCAGTGTCCAGATAGGATGTTAAGAGATGCTACCACCACACATCCTACGCACTGCGGAAATCAGATTCCTGAGGACAATTCACCCCTCAACAACTTTTGTCTATTAATACTCATTTTGAATCTATTTCATTACAATTCCAGAGGAGTTACCTGTCTACATCAGTCTACCTGAAACTTAGAACTACATTTTGCCAAGTTAGTCTTCCTAAATTCAAGTGTATAGTTATATCAGAGCAACTGCAACAGGGACAGGCACATTCAATACACTGCCATCCATTGCCCTTTTCATACTTCCTTATGTACAGGGAGTTCTTTTTTTCCAGAATGCATGAAAACCAACCTTGATCAGGGGACTAGAGAAAATAAAGGGAAGAACCCCATGGTTCTGAATTTGTCATTGTTGTTGTCACATTAAGTATGAAAGGGCACCAATAATAAGAATTCAGTGATCCCCTAGATGTCCTGGTTGCCTTCGATCGGGACAAACTTTTCAAATTGATTTTAACCAAGGTTTTATATGCAGTTTTATGCTTAGATACCTGGCTCCAGGTTCTAACAAACTCAGGTGAATTACCACTATGACAAAGAAATTCCGTTGCTGAAAAATCTAAGGCAGGTCTGAGTTTCTTCAGGGGAAGAAAATTCTTCTTCCGTAACTAAAATACCATTAGGATACAAATGAGCAATTCACATAAAAATCTCCTAAATATAGTTTAGAGGCTTTCCCCTGCCCCCACCCCTCAAAACTTCAAGTGTGTAGTAATCTTGAAAGAGATGCACATGGAGGAAAAGTCAACAGTAAGCAGAACAGTTCAGTCTCACAAGTCCCCATACTGACTTTGTGTGGTTGGAGAAGGAATTTTGACAGTAACTAACCACTTCGCAAACAAAGAGCTTAAAAAAAAAAATACCAAGTACTTTTACCTCTTTTTGAGCTATGCCCATTCTGTCCCTCCAGTGCATCAAGACTAGATCCACCTTCTCTTTGGCAAATTTTTCAACTTCTTTTGCAGCTTTTCCAGCTAATCTCTGCCATTCTGGCACTTTATTAAACTTGCCATACTGATCCTGCAGAAAAAGAGAAAAAGCTGTATTTCTAGAGTGATGCAGACCAATGCAATACTTGAGTAAGCTAGTTTTAAGACTATACATCTAGCCAACAGAGGAGACAAGACAACATTTACTTACAGTTGCAATTTTTAAGTTATCTCTAACATGCATCCTATCAGCATCTTTCTCAGGGACAGGATCAGCACTGTCGAGGTAGGCCAGCAAACCTGGTGGCTTAAAAATTTAGAAGTAGTGTAAACACCAGTGGTTTGTAGAACAGAAACCATCAAAACAGGCAATGTTAAATACTTAGAATTATTCTGTTTTGAAATTAGCGATTTTGAAGAAAGTATGTAACTTTGAAGAAAGTAGAGCAGCTTTGTTTTTATAACTAAAAGGCCACTTTCAGTTCTATCTAAATCACAGAATCATTTCAGTAAGTGCACAATATTAACTTCAGTGTAGTGGAACTCAAGGCATGCCTAATGAAGCTAAAGACTGCTGATCCTCCAGCAATATTGAAGAACACCACCAAAAACTCTAAAATTCACCCATATCTTCCCCTACAGAAGACAGGCTGCCTGCAACATAATGGATAAGAGAGTCTAATTAGACTAAGCCTTCAAGATAGTGATGAGCATCAAAACACTCTGCACTGCCACAAGTGCAAGAATTTCTATTTTGAACCTAAAACTAGCATGCCCCCTGCCCCTAGTTTAAGCATTCCTTGCTTCACTGAAGCAATTAAGCCAGAACTTTTCCAAAAGCTGTAGAGGTGAAAAGCCAGAAGTGTTGGCTAGCATTTAAGTTCAGTAGTGTTATAAGCAGATGAAACTGTATAGGTATGAAAGAATAAACAGAGCTGCTGCCTTAATTTCTTCATGGCACTAAGCATTAAGACTTTCACCATGCCTCCTGAACCATGTCTTGCTTTCAATAGGGGGGAAAAAAAAAAAAAAAAAAAAAAAAAGGCCAGGCATTACATTCTGATTACACCCAGCACCATTAAGATTGACGGAGGGAGTGATGGAATAACAGTTCCTAGAGGTCTGAGAAATAGGTAGTCACGAATATCCTTCAAGTAGGAGGGGGCTCAGCAGCCCAGCACCATGTTAAGCCCTTGCCCTCAAGGAGAGAGGGGAGGGTTCCTGCCACACAGCCTATTCCAAGGTCTGCAGCGTTACAGCCTGTCAGATATTTATTCTTTCCCCCTTCATATCCCACTTTACTCACCAAAATACGTTTCAACAAGTTCATAGCAGTTTTGTTCTCAGCTGTCCAGAGGCCAACCAAATGTCTACTTAACTGCCTGAAAAAGCCGTTAAAACGAACAAACCGCAAGTTAATATTTTTAGCAATGCTTTACCCACTAAACTTCTCTTCTCTTACCATGCTGACAGAATGAAGATGGCTACTTCAAGTGAGCAATGGCACAGAGCATTAGATGGTTCCAGTTCAAATATATGCTTGCATGCTTTGAGGTGTTGCCTTTTAGAAGTTCTAGTGAAGTTAGTGGAACATTAGCAGCACATGCTTTCTGATCTAGACCTCAAAAGAACACTTGAGCAATAGAGCAAGAACTAAACAGCTAATGACCAAGCGTAAATTCATCCAGTCAATCTTAAACTACAGTTAAAATTAGAAGTTTAAAAGCTATTAGAACTGTTAATTACTCCATTTGGAGATCGGTTATTGGCTAGAAAGCCTTTTTTGGGAGCCTGCCTTCTATGCCAACTAACATTTGAGTCCTAGTATTAGAACCCTAGTGACAGCGTTCACAAAAGAACCACTTAAACCAGTCATAAGTAGGCCCAAACCAAACTAGTATGAAGTCTGCAGTCACACTAGCTCTCCTCAAAAAGCCACACAGTGGCAGGAAGCTTCCCATGTCATTATATTGCTTATTAGCTCTGTTTCTAGCTCTTTACAGAAGCTTTAGCTGCACATTCCTAGTCTTGCATTTTGAAAAATTAATTGAATCATCACTCCCATATGCTCTTCAGCATGACCTCAGAGCCAGAGTCACAGCTCAAATTCTGCTCTCTGAAATTCATGAAATGCTTTGCTTAAGAGGAAGCTTTTCACTCAGGAAACTAACTGCGTGCAAAATGATTGTGGTGTGCATACCAAGATTTATACACTAATATAATTTTTGAGAATTTTGATATTCTGACATTCTACAGCCTTTTCTGCTCTGAACATTTTCAAAGAATTAAGACAACCCAAGACACTTTAGCACATAGCTAACTGAAATCCCATTTGGCAAAGGGAAAAAAAAAAAAAAAAAAGTTGAAGCAGATGCAGTCTCAAGTGAAGTTTACTCAGTTTAAGTACACTAACTCCTGAAGAATGGCAGTTTCTTCCTAAAATCCGAGTTTCTAATCATAGCTGGCCATCACTTGAGACTTTTTAAGCATAATATATCAAGTGAGACTGACATACCTATTTGTAAGCATCCTCTGATCTGTGCTTATTGTAAACATAGCAGTGTGCAAATGACGAGGTAAGGCACCTTCACTGAGGGCAAGATCTTGCATTTTGGTAGCAATCTCTTTGTCTCCTTCCTTTGGAAACAGGGCAAGATGATTACTAGAGAAAGAATCTTCATTAGGCTGCTTTTATCTTAATCTACAGTTCTGAAACCTTCTTGACCACCAGCTATGTCAACAAACAGCCAAAGCTACAAAGTGAGGGGCTTTATCTAGGAGGTTCTCAAACTCAACTGATCGAAGTTGCAGGAAAACCACAGACCATGATAATGGCAATTACCCCTTGGAGGATAATAACTGGGTAGGATAAGATGTAGGAAGTGTCTTTCAGCACAAGTTAAGAAATCAATGCTACATTTACAAGTGCCACTTCCTCACTGCAATTGCAAGTAATTACTTGCTACTTGACTTGCAATAAAATGTGGATATAATAGATCTCACTGCATTTTTTTTTTTTTTTAAAAACTTGCCTGTGCCCAACTCTAGTTGGACTGACAGAGCTACAGCTCTGACAGCAGTAGTAACAAACAGCACAGCATCTTTGAGCTAAGAGTAGCTGGTATACCAATGGAAACCTGCAGTTTATAGCATCTCTATTTCAAGTGTTCATTCACTTCCATTCCAAGAGAGTACTAGATGCAGTTCAGATGCATAAGCCATTGTGACACACCGAGGCAGAAACTTAAGCCCTGAATTTCAACACAGGAAGTGTCGAGAGTCAGTCAGCAAGGTCGCCCCACAACAGTCACAAGCAGCCTCTAAGTATGGGCTCGGCCCATACATCATGGTGTAGCTCTGGTATGGAGGTTAACAAAGCCAAATCCTTGGTTGAAGCAGGAAGTGCAAGAACAGAGGCTGACATCATTAGCCTGCTCTGGGCACAGGCCCATACTATCTGGCAGTGCATCAGTAAGATCCCAGGAAATATGGCCTGTCCTCTTTGACCCCTTCGACATGCAGAAGTCTGCTGGCTCTGAGGCATGTAACTGAGCTACATACCATTAAGATAAACAGCCAAACCTGGACTATAGTATGAAAACATGCAAGGCACTACCTTAACATCCCAACTCACATGTCTGCCACCCTTCTCAAGTGTTATAAAGCAAGTTGCTATATTTACACTCTCAATTAAGCAAGTGTTCTCTTCCTTCCTTCCTCTCCCCAACAGCTACCATAAGCAGCTACTATTTTAGTAAGGCATTACTGCAGTTTTGCCTTTGAAACAAACAGTGCCCCATACTGCCCCATACTGCCCCATGTAACACCTAGGAAGTGTCTCACCTCTATTATTGCCTTCATTACCAAACCTGCTCCTTTCACAATTGCCATGGAAGGATGCTACAAGAGAAAGTTCATAAAGTTATTTGAGTTCAGAATATGAATGTCTGATCATCAACAACTCGGCTTCCTCGACTCACCTAACACTGTTTCACTTCCCACTTAGAGCTGGAGTCAAACCCCCTCAAGTTTTCTGAAAGCTAGTCCCCAGTCACTTAGCATATAACTTCAAACAAAAACCTGTTATGCAGCTATCACCTGGATTTCTAGGCAATGAAGAGTGGAGTATGAAGGATGCTGCAATAGTGCTGGGGAAGCCTCACTTATCGTACCAGCTTATGTCAGACAGTATCTAAAGAACAGAAGAGCATTCCTCTTTTTACAGGTAGAAAGCATGACTTTTTAGCCAGGAATGCAAGAATCCTTAAGAGGTTTACTATTGAAGAGAGAGCTGCTCTTACTTGTCTGAAAAAATAGAAAGGGGAACAAACAAGGATCTGTCCATTTAGCTTAATATTATGCCCTGTATTTAAAAATTACAAGTCTTCAGCATTTTTATTTTGAAACATTTCAATATATCATTCACTGTAGAATAACCACCCAGATTGACAACTAAAGCTAAAACAGGCACCCAAAGCTCACCAAGGTACAAAAGATTTCAGCACACTACATGCCCTCAATGGAAGGGGCACTCAGCTTCAGGAGAACACAACAGTTCACATTCACTGACTGACTGCTTAAAGTGTCCAGTACCACTGTTCATATGCCAAGCAAGTTACACTAGCACCTCCTCTGCCCAAGAAATTCAGTCTATTTCTAAAGAACATCAGGAATTACATCATTCTCATTTTGCAACAGCAAAAGTGAAGTCTCACCTGAAATAACTTAAATAGTGTTCGCCCATTAGATGCCACCATTTCCAACAGCATGTCAAACTGCTGCCCTTCAGTAGTCTCACTGTATGGAGCACACAGGGCAAATGTCAGGAAGTCCAAAAGTGAACTAATTACTAGGGCACCTGTCCCATGATCCTGAAATTCAGAGAGAGAAAAGTAATATACAGAACCTACTGCACAAAACAGCGCTCAAAGTCGTATTCAGGAATTACGATGTTAAAAGGACCCTTCCCTTACATATGATAAAATACTATCTGAAAACGCAAGTTGCAAGTTCCACATACCAGGGCATTACCATACTCTGATGACAAAGGATTGACTCCAAGAGCAAGCTAAAAACTCACGACATCAATATATTGCAAGCTACCTACTCACTGTCCTTTCAGTTAGTGGAATGTAACAGGAATAGCCACTTTCAACACTGAACATGAAAACGTTACTACAGGGCTTTAGGACACTCGCTGGAGCAGAGTTTGATTTTAACCTGTCTACATCGCCAGCGAGTGTCCTAAAGCCCTGTAGTAGAGTTTGATTTTAACCTGTCTACATCTAGGCCTAAGAACAGTTTTCAGAGCCAGACATCGCTGCATTTCCTATGCTTTAATTCTAGGCAGTAAGATGTTCAAAGATAACTCTATTATAATACAGATATTTTCATATCAATTAGAATTTCAATTAGAAATACACTATAAGAAGCTATTTCAAAGTTTGACTTACCACATGGGAATTGAATTTTTCTAACAAGTTTTCTAAAAACTTCTTTGAAGAAAGGAGAGAAGCTTTGTTCAGCTGCTCCTGTCTCAAGTCATAGTCATCATGCATGGGCTATTAAAAAATAAACAACATAAATCACATTTCAACCCTAAACTCTTAATAGCTCTAGTTCCCCAAAGCCTTAACAAATAGTGAACACAAAATTATGGGCATGACATCTTTTCCTCAAGCTTGCTAGAAAACCATTATATTACAGGTTATTTCATGCCTGAGCACACTGTAAGTTAACCTGACGTCCCTATTTTTTTTTTCAGCAGTCTGAAGTTCGTACATTCTGAGATATTGAATTTAATACTTACACACATAAGAGCACACAGCATATCAATAGAGGCATGGGTTACTCCATCATTGTTCCTCTTGAGAGCTTTTACAACCTTCACTCCTAAACGTTCCCGAAATCTTTTGAAGGGGTGGGAGAAGGGGAAGCAGAAATACCAGTTAGATGAAAGAGGAGTCTTAAAAGTTAGGATAAAACCCTGCCTGCATGGTTTTTAGCAAGCCAGAACTCACAAGTTCACATTAGTATGAGATTCTTTGGTAGGAACACCAACATAGACTTCACTGTTAACAATATGCTGAGAGCACTTCCATTAAGATCTTATTTGTGAAATTCGCGATTCAGCACAAGACATTCCCGGCACCTCCACCCTGCAGCTTCTAGAGATCTCAGACTTAAATACGTTACTCTTCACAGCATCCAGCTGTGCCATAACCTTAACCTTTCCTCCAGGAGGAGAATTTGATGTTAGAAAAAGTATGTATCTTAATGCAATTATCAGTTGTAATTAACTTAATGAAAAAGTGTCTACTTCAAGGACCAGTGAAAGTTTATTTTAGAAAGTCATCTAAAAAAAGACTTCAGTGTTTTAATTAAAAAGCCACTGGCAGAGAATTAGCTCCAACTGATCACTTGTGATTCTCAATTCACAGAGCACTTAGTCTCATACTACTGAAACTTGTATGTACAGAGCCTTCCAGCCCTTTTCAGAAGGATCCTTAACTCAAGTGGGCAGCTTTAAATATCAGACATCAAAAGCCCCCAAACTCAAGTTTTTACCTACTGCTTCCAAGCTTAGGAGACTTCTCACTTACTTTGGAAGCTGAGTAAAGGCAAGGAAGCCTGCTTTTGAAGCCACTAGTCTTCTCACTGCTTGGAATTGACTTTCCAGTTCTGCATTAGATGCTGCAACATCTCCCTCTTGAGAGAGTAATGCTGTTATGGCATTATTAATCAGTTTCTCCTTATTTTCAGAGAATAGGCCCTGTTTTTTTTAAAAAAATAACCAATACAAAAAGAAGAGTTAATACCTTTATACATTAACAACATCATAAGAGGATGGGCAGAGGAGTTATTCTTACATCTTGTGTTACTGCATGCAGTACCCCACTATAGGAAATGTTAGCATTGAACCTGAACACAGCATCTGCAAAGTTGCCATCTGCAGGAAGACATAACAAAAGAGGTGAGTAAACAGTATCCAACTAAGAGTTACTGGATATTTTAAAGAGGACTATAAAACTGAAATAAATGCTAGCTTACTTGGGGGAGCAGCCAAAAACCTCAGATGAAGGCTCTCTACTTCTTCATCTACAGGCATACTGAGTAATCCCCAGCGCTGGCCTTTGTGCGTGGAGGTCATTTTCACACAGACATCTCTATTACCTGAAGCTCTCACTCCATCCAGCAAGCTGGCCAAGAGAGAATCCCTGAGTTGGGACAAGATGACAATAAAGTTTAGATCCCTTATATCAGAAAAAGTAATCCAGAAAAACAAAAAAGTAGGCAGCAGAAATCCTTAATATCATTTACCAAGACTGAAGAGGCTGCTAGCTTTCAGCATTGCTTTGCTCACTCTAAGAACAAAGCTGTCTCGTACCAAATATAGCCAGCTGTAGTCTCCCACTAAAGCAGATCAACTCTAGATTAGCTGTCTGTGAGTTACAGGTTGTGAATCCAACTCTGCACCTTCTGCAAAACCTCACTTGGCAGGATTAGACTGCATTACAACCACATGCGCACTCAGACTATTCTGTTGGTTGTTCTAAATAGAATCAAAGACGACTAAGCCACGCAGACAGCTCACAGGATTTACAGCCTTTACATTTCCCTGCTAATTATTCTTTCTTTCCTTCTCAAATACGATGCCTAACCAAGTAGGAAAAAATGCAGAAAAATTCTGCCTAGGAGAGACAAACTGTATCCAACTTTAACACCCTTACCTGGCCATCAGAAACTCCCTAAACATTTAAAAGGGAGAAGATTTGTTGCAAGATCTAAATCCCTCCCTATACTTTCAAGATTTGTAAGAGGCAGACCACTAGAATAGTAAGGCTTTGAGTTAACACTGTCAAGCCTCTGAATTTAAAGAGGTTGAGATATTAAGATTGGAATAATAACTCCCATTTGAGTTTAACCCACATAAGCTCCAGTTACCGTTCAGTTGAAGAATACTTCCGGATTTGTCCTTTGATAAATTCAATGGTAAAAAGTTGTGGATTTTCACAGTCACATACTATTGCAAATACCTAGAAGAATCAATAAGAGAAAAGGATCATGTTTATGAAGATGCACTATTTCTACTCTGCAGATTAAGGTCATCTCATGTAAATCAAATTTCTATTTTCATCTTTTAGAACCTCAAATTGTTTCAAGTAGTATTAAAGTCACCTCTTACCTCTCCTAGAGGTTTCAAAGTTGCAATGTTATAGGTAGCTGGATCCCTCTCAACTAAACAAGTTTCTGTAAGAGCTAGCACTCTTTTCACGGGTTCCTTAAAGAAAGGACATGTTAGAAGAGAGAACACTTGCACTTAGGAGCAACCACATATTGATTGTATGCTCTTACCAAATGTCTAGGTGTTATTTTTTGAACAACAAACTCTGCTAAAGATGTTATGGATTCATCATTGCTGTACTTCCCAAAGCGAAGATTCAAGTATTGTTCAAATTCTAGAGATTCCTTTCTTATCCGCAAGGAGATGCCTATGAAGTTGCCAGCATGCTCTATAGCACTCTTGATAATTTCTTCCCTTTGCTCAGATGCAAACAGGTGCTGCAGATTTTGACAAGAAGCAACAGGTGAAAAAATATGCTATATTAAGAAAATAGGCTGTGAAGTATCACATGTCTCAGTCCCCCAAGCATTACCTTCCCACTAACGAACAGTAACTTTCACAAGCAACACCCTTCCCTCCTCCATTAGATATTTGCCTAACAATAAAGCATCTTCCTAGCTGCTGGACTTGCCTTCACTAAGTGTATGCTATAAAGAAGAGAATGTCCTCAAATCAGCTATTCAGTTTATATTACTGTTTCAAAAATCTACAGTAGCTCTTCCTAAAAGACACTGTGTTAAAGCAGGCTTATATGCCACAGAAAGACCTGCATGTCTGAGCACCTTTGGCAACATACCCTGACAGCCTGGCAAGAGGGTATCATGCTGACAGGCGCAGCAGTTATCCACAGGGCTGCCGAGCAGCCTTGCTGGACAGGGTTAGGGATGCTCTATGAGATTTATCATGTGGTATTTGTAATTTAGAGAAATGCATTCCACAGTACTGTAGAAACTCATTCTTGTTTACCAGTAGTGAAATAAAGTAGTTATATTTCAGCTACTAATCATGAATTCCTACAGATCTACTTCAATTGCTTATACTGTAATACACTTAAATCCATTTACTTTTTTTTATTCTAACATTACACTGCAGCAAATACTTCCTCAAACCATGGTACTGTATCTCAGATCACACATCTAAAAAGTCAGCTCAGTCAGTTAACTTAATAATGTTGCCTGCCACTTTGGTAACTTTGAGAACTACCAGCAAACTCACACCACTCCATGTGCAGCTTGCAGCCACATTAGGTACCCAAATATGGATAACTATATTCTATGCTCTGTGATTTTGAAACAGTTAAAAAAAAAAAAATCTACTAATTCTTCTCAGGCATGTTTTTTTTCCTTCTCTCTCTCCCCTGGTTTTAACTAATTTCCAGTTGCTGTGGTAATGAGTGTTTAAAAGCCACGAGCTAGGACTGGTCACTGGGTTCCACAGACACAGGTATTGGTATTTTCAAGTCACATTGAAGCTTCATTACTGAACACAAAACTATACATTTCAACAGCCACGCCAAGCTTGTGCTTTTCAGTACTCACCAATCTACTAAATCCTCCATAGAGGATACAGAAACCTCCCTGATAGCCAGCAATATCAACAAAGCCTTCAATATTTCTGTAGTCATAGGAGCACAGGACTTTATTTGTTGCAGGATCAATTTGGTCAATACTTCCAGGGGTCACTTCCAGAACCACAGATTTCCTTGTATCACTCCAGTGATGTTTATAGCAGTTGTACCTCTGCAAAGAGAACAGCTTTCAGACTTGTCTACACATACTTCTCCATTAAAGAGCAATTTTTTTTAAAAAATAAAAACTCTAAGAAATATTAAGAAACATAAGTATAATGCTCAAAGAATCAGCCACAAAGCACTGAGATAAGTGCTATAAGAAGATTATGAATCAAAGGAAAATAGCTATGTACTGACAAGGAAGTCATAGCAGTCAAGGTTTAAACAATATCTTCTTTTAAAAGAAAGAATAATAATTTCAAGACAGCCAACTTAGAGGAAGTAACTTCCTTCTGGTGCAGGAGAAGGTCTAGGGTCATGGCATATGCACATCTGATTAGACAAGAACCACCTACTGCACAAGGTGCTGTTTTTCAGCTAATAAAAAAAATACAGTGCAAGTTCCCTCCTCTCCGCCCCAGTCATGTTCCATTATGAATAACACACGTTTACTGAAGTCAGAAAACTTAATGGACTGCACTAAACAGCAAAAAAGACAAACAGGTGTCCATGTTCCAGCAAGGGCTCCTGTGCTCCCAATTTGCTCTATGCAATGCTTTAAGGCACTGCATGTCCTAGCATATGTGACCTGCAGGTCAGGAGGTTTTTGGTATGTCTTATGGGCTTCAGCTATCTTAAGTCCACAAGAACAAGTCACAGCTCTGTATATTGCCTTTCTTATTACCAAATACAAGTAGTAAGATTCAGAAAACAGCACTTTTGCCTTGACTGGACACAAGAAACTCTGCTAGGAAACAGTGGTTTTTTTTTTTTTTTTTTTAAATCAGGAGTTATGTTATGCAGAAAGCTTCAGTCAGAAAATAAAGTGCTGGAAATACTAACAATTAAGTAGTGATTAATACTTTCTTTCCTCCAAGTAACAAGCTTCACATACCAAAGCCCTTTATTTAAAAGATAACACTCAGTCTTTATATGCACTGGAGGGAAGCTCAGGCCAAGTGAAGAGGACTCAAATATTCAGTTAGAAAGGTAGAAACCTTTTGACTCCTTTTGAATGAGCTCAAATTCCTCAGAGAGGAGATTTAACCTCAGACCCAAGCTTATGAGATCTGTTTTAGTTCTTCACTGTGGAAATTTAAATCTTCAGATCAGTTTATTAAATACCCCTTGATTCAGACAAGCCAAATACTTACCCGTCCTGTGATTTTTCCTTCTGAAAAGTCTGTCCTGAATCTCTGTTTTTAAAAAAAAGAGTTAGCCAGGAATGAAAATGCAAGTTATAGTCAGTCCTTCCAAAATGTCTAAGTTTAAGCTGACACTGTTTTAAATGACTTGGACTAAGCCTTACTTCTATTTCTCTGTAAAATAATACATTCCTAAATATCAAGCAAAACTCTAAATGCTGAATTGCACACTAGTTACTCCAGCTGACACTAGATCAGTGACATTAACATAACTGCTCTAAACACGACTTGGTTTCTTACTTTCTTTTAGGTAAGGAAAGCATATAAAATTTCCACAACTTGTAATGACTTCTAAGTATCCCTTGCTCGCTCAAAGATACCAAAAAGAGTCTTACCAGCGCTTCTGTAAGAAGTTCTGTTCTGTGCTCTGTGGAAAACTTAAGAGTTTCAGACTTCTTTCCACTCCCTTTCCGAAAAGTGAGGCTAAATTCCGTTCCTTGTCCTTTTCCGACAGGAGAAATACTACAGATATCTCCATAAGGCCACTAGACAAATCAAAGTAAATAGGTTACACCATTAGTAGCTTTAAAGTCAAAGCTGCATGTTTTCCACTCAAAACACCAGAATACCTGTAACTAATTCGATATAATGAGACAATAGGCAGCACACAAGGAGGCTTTAGAGCAAGCTTCCTGCCTGACACTTTGCAAAGCAAGCATCCTGATCCCCTTCTAGGGCCGAGCCTCAGTGATCAGCCCTATCCAGGTCATCCAGAACAGGATGAACAACAGCAAACTATTTATTGCCCAACACAGACAAACTGAAAGCACAAAAGTCTGTTGGATACCTGTAAAGGTAATGGGAAGGAGGGTAGGGGAGGGTGGGAGGGGGGATGAAAAAAACAAAAAAACAACGATGTTGTCTTTTTTAGCAGTTGCTTTTCTTAGTTTTCACAGAGATCTTAGAGTTGGTAGTAGCTGCTGAAAACAGAATACCACTGTGCTCTTTGGTTAGTGAACAGAAGGCAAAAACTCAGTATAACTTTCTCTATAGTCTTCTGTTCAGAGAAGACAGTTACCTGATTTGTAACTTCTAGTGTGTTGGGATTGTATGTGGTGACAGCATGGGTTCCAACTGAAAAGACCCTCTTATACCTGGAAGAGTAAGAGCATATTAGTTTCAGAACTCAAGACAAAACCTTGTTGAGCTGCAAAGGCTGTCAGGATACTATAGTTTAGTTATTGTTAGGGAAAAAAAAAAATCCATAATCATTTCTCAAATTGTTACTCTAGCTCTCAATGTTTCTACTATATTCAGGCTGTCAAAGAGCATTTCAGTTCTTTGAATACAAGAAAAGACTTCTTGGACAACTGATTGCTCCTTCTCCTCTTGCTGCACAATTTAAGGAGGCATTTTGGCTTTTACCTGCTTGGGCAGGGGGTGGGGGGAAGGGGAGGAGAAAAAAAGAAAAAAAAAAAAAGAAAAAAAAAAAACTGATGAACTTCATTTTTTTGTGGTTTAAAAGGACTGTGCAGTAACAGCAGCACCATGTCTTCTACCTTACATGTACAGCACTAGTATTTCAATATATGGGAAAAATTATCCAGCATTAACATGACCCAGTGAGCAACACAAGATTTAAATAAAAGCAGATTTGCTGAGTTCATTTCCTTCAACCTCTCCCTACACAAATTCAGGAGAATCATTTTGTTGTGAGAACTGAAGAGACTATGAACTTTGGCCAGATTTAAACATAAAAAACATATGCATCTCCAAGCTCCTGAGATTTTACCATTGATTATACCCTGCATACTATGGAGTAGCTTGAGAGAGATTGCCACGCTGTTTTAAGAACAAATTCAGAGCATAAATTCTCTTCCCATTAAGGGGGCTATTACCTGCTTGCTAGTTGCTTATAAACACTGCACAAGTCAGACATTCTGATTCAGGCTCATCTTGATTAAAACTTCTAGATTTTTTTCTCTCCACACTGCCACACTTAAGGGAATACAACAGTGTTAATTAATTTTACAAAACTACAGATCTATGCCTTGCCTCATTTGTACTACTCTGAGGTAGCTTAACTGCCTTGCATACAGCCCACATTTCACCGAGTGCTAATTCACATGATGAGTCAAAGCAGTGACTCGGGCCAATTTACCACTGAACATTTGGATACTGGGATTTTTGTGCGTTATCTATAGATAATGCTGAAAATACGTATACAGCATTTTCTCAGAAATTATGTTCAGAAGAATGACTGAAAAGATTCATGTCATGAGAACTATCTGGAGGTGAGACTTAAGCTACAGACAAGCAACACTACTATTTACAGAGTGGACTTTAACACTCAAATACAAACCTTGTAAAAGGTCATAAGCTTTTTTATGCATTGCAGGAAAAGGCAACTACTCATTGAATTAAGTATGAATAAAGAACTACTGAGTTTTAAACAAAGCCTCAGTATAACACTTAGTCTTTTTACTAGAATGTTACCAAAGCTTAAGATAATCTTAGTCTAATAGCCTACATCATGCAGGAACAAGCTCTTTAATGGGGAATACTGGACATAAAAAGTAATTGGAGCACTGGGTATTTTACTGCAGCAAGTGGCTAAATTTTAGCCCTGCACTTTGGCCCACCACACTTACAACTCTGCCACAGAAGCTTCACAAGGAAGGACAAGACACACTCTGTGGACAGGAGAAGATAAGAGGGAGAAATTATTCTAATATTGCCCCCCAAAACAGTATCTCATTTAGTAATGAGACAGTTTTCACATCTGTCCACACAAATCTAGACGTGTGGACTTGCCTATACGTGGATAATGAAATCTTCAGTTAGAATTCTAACACAGCAAACTAAGTTTTTCCAAGTCAACACTTTCACAAGCCCATTGTGACTCCTGAAATGGTGTTTTACCCTTGTAGGCAACAGCTGCTCAGTCCATTGTGGACTTTGAACTACCCAAGGCCTTAGTTCCTGTTGATCTCTAAGACTTAGGAGCACGCTGGTTATAGACTGAAACAAGTTCATGGCTCCTGAAGGCACAGACTGAGAAAGATTTATGGCTGCTACCTTACACAATCCCATCCTCCTCCATCTCCCAATATTCATGGATTCCAGAAAGCATCGGCAGACAGTGAGAAAATACCAGTTTCAACTCACTGGCCAAAAATCAGAGCCAGACACCACCTTTCTGTATAGTTGCTAGAGTACAGCAGTTACTTGCACTCTTAAAGTTCAGACAACAGGCTTTCTTTGTTCTGCTAATGTTTAGGTAGCAAGAAAATGTCTCACAGTACTATTACAGATATAAGAAGCACACAGGGCAAGGATACCAAATTGGTACAAAATTCTAAGCGAAACAAATGCCTATGATCAGGCTTCAAGTAGTACACAATAGCTGACTTGTAACTAGTATCTGCTATGTGTTTCAAGAGTTCAGCGGATAGTCTTCAGAAATATCCTGCCTCTTGCAGGCTGAAGTACTGCTGAAGACTGGGGCAAGTATGTTTCTACCAATACATGTCTTTCAAGCAATCTCAACAGTTTAGCAGATAATCTATAATACAATATGTTAAGTGTATGCCTGGACCAATGACCCTAATCTATTCAGGTGCACAAGACTTTCAAATAACCTTTTCCAAGATGAAGACTATCCACTTGAATATTTCATGTTGCAAGATTAACAGAATCCCAAAGTGCATAAGCCACAGGATTTATTCCAGAGTTATACCAAAGTGCAGTAACACATGCACAGAGAATGAAACAATGTTTTATCTGCAAATTGATGCTAGAGAGGATGCAGTCAGTTCAGAGACTGAGCAGCAGAAGCTTTTAGTTCAGTTTTAGCTTGAAATACAGGAAGTATGTAGTTGAACCCAGGAATGGAGAGGATAAACATCACACTAAACACTTAAAAACTTGAAGTACTTACTTTCCCCTCCATGAATGTTTTGTCGTGTAGAAACAAGCAAGATCTCTATTTTCCCTAATTATATTCATTTTGTGCCAAGACCTGAAAGCAAAAGAGACATCTTGTTAGTACTCATTTTTATTTAAGACCAAAGCCTATTCAATCATTCATCAATATCCTTCAAGAAAAAGGCTTTGTTTTTATCTTTACTTAGAATTGACAATTTAAACAGTGACTGAATATACCAGGAATATTCCTGTTTACCAGATGGAATGCATGGGTTAACTACCTGGGGAAACAGACTAATTATCAGTTTCTCACTTATTGGTCCACCAGTTACTCTTTAACAGTATTATGTTATGGTAACTTATTATTTGCCACATTGTAATCATTACTACATTCTTGGCACCTTTGATTTTTCAGATTTAACTGCATTTTACAGTTCTATAGCATCAAAATGATTCCAACAAAGAGGCTACATTCATAACCCTAACTAAGCCAGATTCCTACTGCTGTTTTGAATAAACGGTGTGAGAAAACTGACCAGACAGAACAGCTTACTTTTCAATCTGAAACAGAATTGAGAACCCAATTAATCAGCCAAATGTTATGATTTACATTTTTTTTTAAAGCTAGGTACCCTTTCTGTACTGTACAAGTTAATGCAATTCCTCCACTGACATCCTGACATACTTAGTTCAAACAGGAATAGCTATTTGCCAAATATACGCAGGAATGTACTTAAACTTGCCCAAAACTGCTTGACTTGATCTTTGCTCCAGGAGCTGCTAAATTCTGAGGAATCCTCCTGAACCCTAACATTGTCTTCGGCAACTGCAATTGCTCAATGCTGAGTACTTCAGATTTAAACTTCCATTTTGCTTCACTTTGCTTTTATTACCTATAAAAGGCATTTAAGTGGAGATATTCAGATTCAGTTGCAAGGCTAGCAATTACCACTCCGAGTTTACTGCTACAGTGCTTGCTTTATTTCTTCGTGTGTCAAAACAAGCTTCTCTGCCCAACTACTCGAACTGCTACTATTGTCAAGTTCATGCTACTAATGCAACTGTGTCACCAAAACATCAGGCTTAAGAAAATAGTCTGCAAGAATCCATACTTGCAGCTTGGTAAAGTAACACTGAAGCAATCCAACCCCACTGTCAGTACCCCACTGAGTACAGTTAAGTTACAGCCTCAATTCTCAATTATCTTTGCATTCATTCTCTTCTAGTTATTTTGGCAAATGTTATCTCATTGTTAACTTCCACCCCTAGAACTTAAGTCTATTTACTTCCCGAGCAAATGCTGTGGCAGTTATCTAATCGTGAACCTGAAGAATGAATAACGTGACCGAAATGAAGAACTCCTGTTCTCAAGGTGGAGAGTGAGCACAGTCATCACTTCCTAGTGAAGAATTTTGTGTAATGTCTCTGGAAAGAGATATTTATACATTTCAGTAACTTAAATTTGACTCCAGAGTTAACACCCCATTGACTTCTGTCATGAAGAAATCCCCCCATGCAACTTTGGGAGCAGAGTTTCATAGGGAAAAAGATGTTCAACAGCATTGTTTTAAGTTCTCTGCTTTCCCCCCATTTTAGAATGGGGTTTTATTAGTAAGCTAATTGACATGCAAATACCAAAACATCGCAAATTACAGAGCTTTCTGTGAACTTTTTTTCATTTTCATGATTTAACGCCATCTTTCAGAACAAGCTGCAAGGCACTCTTTCTATATCTTCTTTATTTAAATCAGTTTGGACATTCTTATGACTCACGTAAGTGGAATAATAAGCTTATAACAAGACTTGTTCCACTAAGTCTTGGATCTGACCAGCTCTGTTAAGTATCCCAGACCTGAATACCACCTGCTGTACAGAATATTTAAAGCAAGGTGTCCTTATGCTCGCAGATAGCATCTAGTCTCAACAATGCAGTTCTGAGAAACATTGCTTTGAACATGTACCCACAGTCTCCATTAATTTAATTTTATACCAGCATTTCACTAGATTCAGGATCCACTGTATGCACTGTTTCATGCAGCTGTAAGTGACAGTCTACTTCAGTATGTTTGGTTTTATTCACACTAAAACCATTAAAGCCTTCAAGGTTTGAGGCTTTACAAATCATTGTGCTTCTGGATAGTGATTTTAACCCTCTCTCCCAGTGAAAATATTATCAAAGAGGCAGAATACGCTGAAAGTTAGCAACAATTCTTGCACACATTTTCCTGCAATTTAACAAGAAATGCAGCTAACAATAGTCTAGTGTTCCAAGCAGCTATGTGGAAGTTCAGCACTCATTTTCTTTGCCTCCATGGCAGAGCAATATGAAAGAGTTTAGTTCATGACACTAAACAAAGACAGTTTAGAAAAAGGAAACGAAGTTATCTTCCTTTACTCATTCTTGTAAAACAACATGTGGCAAAACTCATGTTGTAATATCTAGTCACACATATTTCTTGACTATCTGAAATAGCATACCCACTGATTTATTAGAGCACACACTAGGATTTCATTTGCTAGCACACATGTTAGATTCCAGGATTCAGTTCAGCCATACTGTCAGTGATTATAGTAGCTTGCTTAATGATATTCACATTCATTTCACAAAATAAGATGACATTCTTATTGTTACCATTATCTTTCTCCTTTATTTTAAATTCCACTTTTGTGTCTAGTCAGCCAACTCTTTATGGTTTCACTTATAAAAGCAACCAGGACAATGCAGTGCCACTAAATTACATTAGTGGCCCAGTGCATCTCATTTAAAAAATGTGAAGATTGTTATTACATATTCTAACACAGCTCTTTGGTATCCCGTACTTACGGCTCCCAAAGGTTTAACGCTGGAGAAATACTTAGTTCTGATTTCTATTGGACTACAGGCAAAAAAATACCTTAAAAGTTTAATTTTATAAACATATTTATGGCAGAGGGAGAGTGCTGTTACGAGCAAAATACAGGCAAAAATACTCTGTAGTTTTCACAGACAAAATATTGTCCATGACTCAACTCTGAGCACCTACCTAAATCAGTCCTTGATCTCCTGGATAATTTAACTCTTCCACAAAACAGTAGTTCAGGAATATATTTCTGCATTTTTTCCTACTGCAAGCAGTAGCAAAACAATTTTGCAGGAAGAGCTAAAGCTGCACCTGTTTGCACTGCATATACCAAAAAGAGCAGTCCTTAAAACTTAAACATACTGAGCTGCTAGAGTTTTAGATATATGAATTACCCCCACACAAGCTGTGTTCAGCTCAAACACATTCCTGTTATCTAACATTTGCTGCATGTTCTTATAAACAAAATTGCTACCAAAAAACCCCAAAAAACAAAAAAATCAGAACCTGAGAAAACAAAATAAGCCACAAACAAAGCAGCTTTGCAGAGTTCGAAGTGAACCTGAGACTTTGCAGACATCAAAGCAATAGGCATAAATGCCTACTGTGATACTTATTCATGAAATCAGAAGTTTGGTTCATGTTTCAAAGTTCTGTGAAGAACTGAAATCACATTTTTTTCCTGGATACTATTAGACATCTTCCTATGCTATTAGACATTTTCCATAACTTGTTTTTAGGTTAAGGCAGCATTTCAGAGCTGCAAGCAACATTATTCTACTCCACTCATTTTTGTCTTATGGGGCAATAACTTTTTAGCAAGGCTATATTTCAAGTCAAGTCGTGATTTTTCACCTCAAGAGAAAGAATACACATACATGGTAAAATAGCGAAGAATTAGAAAGCAACAAGAACAGAGCACTAAGAAAAACATAACAAAAAAACACCCCACCCAGGAAGTTGTGCAGGAAGTCACAGCCCTTTGAGAGGGGAGACAGACAAAACCTACCCAGCCCTTTTAAAACAGTGCAGGGTGCCTCAGTGACGGCAGCATCGCTGTCTTCAGCGCTTCAGGATGCAGGTCATCGGGACACACTGGGAATTCAGACCTTGCTACTACCAGAACAGATATTAGCGTCTGTCCTTCACCTCGTTCTGCCACTCCCTTGCTAAGGAACAACACTGAGGATCACCAACTCATCTATATTCAGATGCCTTTTCGTCTGCATTAGTTTTCTTCTGGATCAATGAACCAAAATGATTCACTAGCTTGTCTGGCAAAGAGGGTTACTTGCTAGAGGGAAGAACAAGATTTCTTTCAGGAACAATGTAGTCATCTTGTGTGTGTATATATATATATATATATATATAGTTATATAGTTATAGTTATTTTCACTGCATGGTTCAATTCTAAGTATTAGTCGTGAAAGACAATAATTGTTTTTTTCTTTTTGGGCAGGAAAATAGATTTTGGAGGCAAACCAAGGGGCAGAACAGTTGAAGGAGTCATATGGCTCAATGTCAGCTGAAGAGTTATTTAAGTCAGAAGGCTTAATCTACCAGCTTCAAACATAATCTAACATCACTTGATCAGTCTACTGCAACATAAAATTCTGGCCATTAGAAGCATTACTCCCTAGAATACCACTTAAAAGAAGAAATCTGGAAATATCCAGTGATTCAATCCCTCAAGACAAACAAGTATTTGGAAAATATGATGAATAACACATCCCATCAAAAGAACAGTGATACATGCAAAATAACTCACTTAGAAAAGTTATTTCCAAAAGCCTAAGATGCCAGGTAAACCTCCTGGAAAGCCCATGCTACAAAGAAACATAGTTTAGAGTCTCCAAACACTTGAAAACTTATTAAGGTGGGAAAAGCCAGCATCAGCAATGGGGAGAAGTCAGTAGTATTTGATGCAAGTGCTCTGGCATTTGCCTGCCTACAGCAGGCAGCAGTCAAACCAAGATGCATATCTGTATGCTCAGTATGTATGCCAAGCACAATTGACGGTAACACTGAGTCTGTTTGTGCAGTAGCTTCCTAACCCAATTCAAAGATGAAACTAGAGTAGCTAGCAATCCCTGTGACAGGCTTCCTCCCTTTCTACGTTCCAGCAGCCTATTGCTGGGGAGACAATCTTCTCATTAGCCAGAAGCAGAAATTTAGATATCAAAGAGCTTAAGCTCTAAAGCTAGC